GCTGACAGCGGGGCTGTGCTGGTTTTTGTCTCCCTGCAAAGCAAGGAAGACAAACTGTCACTTTCCCTAGTAAAACAGCACACAGTCAACATAATTACATGTAGTTAGGCACACAGTTAATCCTTTGCCTCAGATGTTATCCCCTTCCTATCCTGTGTCAATAATAGTGTCAGTGCATTTTATTAGCAATGATCACTGTATTAGTGTCACTGGCTGTGTCAGTTAGCCAGTGTCAGAATTTCCACTGTACTAATACAGTCCCGCTACAAGTCGCTGATTGCCGCCATTGCTAGTGTTTAATAATCCAATCTATATATACTGTCATTTTGTAGACTCTATAATCTTCACACAAGCCAATTAATATACACTTCTTGGTATTTTTTTTTTCACCAAATACATGTGGCAGAATACAATTTGGCCTACATTTTTTTATGAAGAAATGTGTGGGTTTTTTTTTTAATTTTGGGATATGTTTTATAGCAAAAAATAAAATTTCAGTCTTTTTTTTATTTTATAGGGCAAAAAAACCCAGTGATCAAATACCACCAAAAAGATTTATTTGTATGAAATAAATGATATAAACTTCATCTTTTTGTACAGTGTTGCATGACTACGCAATTGTCAGTTAAAGTAGCACAGTTATGTATAGCAAAAAATGGCCTGGTCATGGGGGGGGGGGGGGATCTCCTGGAGAGGTGATTAATGAATGAGGTGAAGCTCTGCTGACTTCCATCCACTTATGCTGAAGCAAAAATGTTGTGTTTTTTTATGATTAGTGATTCTTTGCAAACTAATTTTCACCCCATCCACTAAACTGGGGGATAATTAAGTGTTGTAACCTATACAGAAAGCACAAAGCATCTGGTTATCTGAAAAATCTCTTTTGATTATCTTCTGTAATGCTGTAATGTAACAAGCTGTAAAGTGTGAAATTATTCACAACGTTTTAGTGTGTTTTTTTTTTTATTTTTACAGATTGCAGCTGGATTTTAGGTCTAAAGGTGGGAAATGGCTGTGTTTAAATATTGTCTAATTGCTTTCTTATTTCCTTACAAGAGATTAAATTCATCCTACCAAGTGATTAAGTGGACAACTGAGTACACTACTTTGAGACAAAGTTGCTAGAACATAGATTTAAATGTTAGGCACCAAATTCAATTCCTGTCCAATATTTGCGTGATAGCACAAATATCATGTCCTCATAATTGCCAGAGGCCTGGATGTTATTCCTTATAAAAGGGTATAAAATACACATTTGCTTCTATGCTTATTCTATGCTAATTTCGGCTAGAAGCAAACTGGGGTCTGCTCCTGCTACAGTTCAAACATTTTAGTAAATCCCCATCAAAGAAAAAGTTTTAATATTTTCTTACCTTTTGAGCGCATCACAAGATAGGAGGATAGTCAATAACAGTGCACGCATGATGAAAAAAGTCGCAGGGTTTCTTGCCTGACTGTATTCTTCTTGTGTTCTTGAACCACATATATTTTAACTGTTTTATCTAACTACAATCTATTTTGCTCTTTTTATACCTACCATCTAAAATCTCATGATTATGTTCTCTGATAATCTATTTTTCATGCAACCTTTCTGTATTTCACTCCTTATCTGATCCTTAAATAAATACTTTACAGCCTCTGACGTTCATTTTTGTTTATCCTTTAGCTCTCTGACTTTTACTACTTGAACTATTCTGCTCTTATATATAACTGTCTGGAGTTAGCCAAATTGGTAGAATTAGGGGAATCTGGGATGTTCCAGTCTTCTCTGGATACAAAATAGTCTAGATCCTAGTTTAATTTTGTCATTGTAATAAAATATACATCAAATGACAACACCCATGGGAAAGCACTTAAAAAAATAAAAAATACATTTTAAGAAACCGAGAAGACAGCAGGAAACAGGAAAGGTCAGACACAACACGGGAACCATATCCATCATTAAAATCTTCAAAATCACTCCTAAAAGAATAGTTGTACTCTTTGTTTCTGTTACATAGAATCTTGAAGTAGCAGTAGCTACATACAACCATATATAAATAGTTTTCTGCTCTCAATTTATAAAGTAGTTGACAATAATTGCAGAAACGCTACATGATTTTAACCACTTTCCCTCCTGAGGATTTAACCCCCCACCCTTCCTGACCAGGCCAGTTTTTGTGTGTTGTGGTGCTGAGATACTTTAACTGACAAATGCACAGTCATGCAATACTCTACCCAAATTAAAATTTACATCCTTTCCCCCCCCCCCCCATGAATTGAGCTTTGTTCGGTGGCATTTGATTGCCTGTGTTTTTTTTTTTTGTTTTTTTTTTGCGCTATAAAAAAAGCGACAATTTTGAGAAAACAATATTTTTTACTTTTTGCTATTAAACTCCCTGGCAGTATTCCCGAGTGTAGCTCGGGGTAAAGTTTCAGCACCACAAGTGGTAACCCCGAGCTATACTCGGGAATACCCTGCAGCGCTGCTCCGGGATCTCTTCTTCACTTACCTTGTCCATCGGTCCTGCGATGTCCCCCTTGCAGTGTCCCCTGCAATATCCTCCGGCGGATGCCAGCATCTCTCTTCTGGGTTCCGTTCCCTGCGACGTCGGGATGTACGGGGGACAGAACTGGCGGGAAATTTGAAAGTTGCAAAAGTGACATTCACTAAATACACTAAAATAACATAGTAAAAAACATTACTGTATCAAACCATTTCACATACATTTTGTCCCCAGTGCTTTGTCCTGTGCCCTGCCTGCATTTTTACTGTTCTTTCTGCCTGGAAACTGAGAAATGTCTATGGCATCCAAAAAGCGTCCCTTTTAGGTCAAAAGCAGTTTTAGACCAGCTAGAGAACAGTGATAGTAAATTAGAACTACTTGCAGAATTGAGTGATGATTTGTGGGGAAATTCGTCATCCGACACTGAAAACGATTTTGCGACTTTGCTCAGTGATGTGCGAACTTGGCGCTATATTTCAAATTTCAGTGTTTTTGGTTTCATTATATTATTGAATTTTATTATTATTATTATATTTTTTTTTATGATTATTTATTAAATTCTAATTTATGATTTTGTGTTTAAAATTTTAACATACCCTGGATGTTTACTAGACTCTTGTTCGGACAGATTTCAATGAGTTATTTCTAAAAAGTACAGGCCTACAATAAAAAAAAGTTATTTCCATGCAAAAAAAGTACCGCTTTGAGCACAGAAATATGGACATAATCAGACCGCTAAGGAGGGTACACATGTCTAGTAAAAAAAAATTTAAAAAATCAAATTTGTCATAAATTTAGGCCAAAATGTATTCTGCTACATGTTGCTACAAAAAAAAAAAAATCCCAATACGTGTAAATTAATTGGTTTGCTTGAAATATTACAAAGGAGTGTGAATTAAGGGCTTTTGACAGTGCATGAAAATAATCCAACTAAATTTTGTAAAAATAATTTTTACCAATTTATAACAATAAAATTACATTGGATACAAATAGTTACAATTAACTTAACAATCACAGCAAGCTTGACTGTTGAATGTGGTGCACAGATGATGCTTCCCTACATGTTTCTCCTATCCTGGGCTTCCTCAGGGGAATAAAGAGGCTATCCGCGATACAGTCCTTGGGACTATGTTGCCAAAATCATTCATTAAAACAAAAACAGACAAACAAGTGCTGAATCAAAGGCCCAGGCGTCCGTGTAATTGCAGAAGGCACATAAAGGACAGAGTTAAGAGGGGAAGGGGAGATTATTAACAGCAGAGAATCTTTGCTGGATGTCAGAGGTCTCCCTCATTCACCAAGACTCCATACAAACAGTGGCCCCTTTTTTTTCTTTTTTTTTTTCTTTGGCCACATGGGTGATCCCTAAATACTGAGGCTGTGTTTGATCCTCACCTCTCTATGGATTTAATGTTTGTATGGCATCTTGGTGAATGAGGGAGACCTCTGACATCTAGCAATGATTCTCACTATATCTGGTCTCCCACAGTACAACAAACAACATGGAAATGCAGAAATGCAATTATTTTAGTAAATATAAACTGCTAAATACCTTTTTCTCATCAGCTGCTAGAGCAGTCTTGGGACTTTAGCAAAGCACTGGTTAAAGGTTGTAGGAGAAGTTTTTTATTTCTCCTCTGACCCTCTGGACTGTGCTGATTGGCCCTGTGCTGATCACATGCACCCTCCCAAGTAAAAAAAAAAAAAATAAAACCTCTAGCAATACATACCAAACTGAGTATGTGCATGTTGTCTTCTCACCAAACTCGTGACCGAAGGACTAGCCGATCTAAAACTGCGATGTCACGTGCATAACAATGCCACACCCAGCTGCACCCTGCACAACGATTTTTCAGCTAATTGGACCACAATCGATGTACCGGCAGCCTGAGCGATTGTTACTGGGCCAGGTTAATTACGCAATTAACCCTTCACAATGCCACCACCTCCTTTTTGTACAGAGAAAGAGGAAACTCGGCAATATCAGTTATAACACTATAATGGCTGAGGTATTTGTCTGTATAACACGGTTATACAGAGGGTTAAACAAACACAATAGCGTTCTCTTTAGAGGCAGGAATTCGTAAATCGCAATAAAGCGCTATAGGAACAGTTTCAACACTTTCAGAAGGAAAGATTTATTACTAAAAGGTCAAACGGGTGCAATAAAAATATTTACAGAAAGATGTAACTAAGATATATAATATATATATATAAATATATATAATAATATATATATATATATATATACAGAGACCAACAGCACAGCAAAGAGATATCAGAGAGAGGTGAAAGGGTTAAGGTACTTGCCAAAGTCCTGGGTTAGCAGATCCAAGTTTCAGAGCGAAAGGGCACAAGTCTCCTCAGGTGGTACTGATTAGAGATGAGCGAATTATTCAAAAATTCGGTTCGGCTGATTCGCCGAATTCGCGGAAAAAAATTTGCTTCGAGCCGAATATATTCGCTACGCGAATTTAACTTATAAAAAGGGTGTTTCTAGGCTTCAGAGAGCCTTTATATTAGTGCAGAACACTGTACCTTTAATTTAAATGCCCTTGGAGTCTGCTGGGGAAGAGAAATAATACTGTCAGTCAGTATGACATGCAGATGAGTGCCGTCGATCTTAGAATCACCGCACACTTCACTCACATTTGGGCAGTCATGGGCCAAAACCAGAGTGTGGAGCCACAGTGTGGCAGTGGAGGCAGCAGCAATGGGAGGCCATACAGCACCCTATGACAAAATGGAACCCACCAGCAGTGTGAGGAGACCTGAAAGTGGCACATGGCAGAGTGTGGCGATGGAGACAGCAGCAATGGGAGGCCGTACAGGGACCCATGACACACTCTGGACCTGGCAGCAGCATGAGGAGGCGGTACAGGGGCCCATGGCAGATTACGGGCCTGGCAGCAGCATCGGAGCAGAGGCGGTACAGGGGCCCATGGCAGAGTGGCGGAGCGTAAGCAGCTAAAAATTGAAGGCCATACAGAGGCCTATGTTAAAAAGTCCCCCCAGCAGCAGCGTGGGGAGACGACTATCAAGAGTCCAATGGCAGAGTGGCGGAGCAGAAGCAGCTTCAATTGAAGGCCATACACAGGCCTAGGTAAAAAGCGGAAGCCGTCAGCAGCGTGAGCAGACGACAGAGACACGTGGCGCAGGGTGGCGGTGGATGCAGCAGTATTCGGAAGCCAAACACAGGCCTCTGTTAAAAAGCGGAAGCCGTCAGCAGCGTGAGCAGACGACAGAGGCACATGGCGCAGGGGGTGGCGGTGGAGGCAGCAGCAATGGAAGGCCATACAGCACCCTATCACACAAAATGGAACCCACCAACAGTGTAAGGAGACCTGAAAGTGGCACATGGCGCAGGGTGGCGGTGGAGGCAGCAGTATTCGGAAGCCATACACAGGCCTAGGTTAAAAAGCGGAAGCCGTCAGCAGCGTGAGCAGACGACAGAGACACATGGCGCAGGGTGGCGGTGGATGCAGCAGCATTCGGAAGCCAAACACAGGCCTCGGTTAAAAAGCGGAAGCCGTCAGCAGCGTGAGCAGACGACAGAGGCACATGGCGCAGGGTGGCGGTGTAGGCAGCAGCAATGGAAGGCCATACAGCACCCTATCACAAAATGGAACCCACCAACAGTGTAAGGAGACCTGAAAGTGGCACATGGCGCAGGGTGGCGGTGGAGGCAGCAGTATTCGGAAGCCATACACAGGCCTAGGTTAAAAAGCGGAAGCCGTCAGCAGCGTGAGCAAACGACAGAGGCACATGGCGCAGGGTGGCGGTGGAGGGCAGCAGTTTTCGGAAGCCATACACAGGCCTAGGTTAAAAAGCGGAAGCCGTCAGCAGCGTGAGCAGACGACAGAGACACATGGCGCAGGGTGGCGGTGGATGCAGCAGTATTCGGAAGCCAAACACAGGCCTCGGTTAAAAAGTGGAAGCCGTCAGCAGCGTGAGCAGACGACAGAGGGCACATGGCGCAGGGTGGCGGGTGGAGGTGTCAGCAGCAATGGAAGGCCATACAGCTACCCTATCACAAAATGGAACCACCCAACAGTGTAAGGAGACCTGGAAAGTGGACGTTATTCGGGAAGCCAAACACAGGCCTCGGTTAAACAGTGGAAGCCTGTGCAAGGCCGCGTAAAGCAGACTACTAGAGGGCACATGGCGCCAGGGTTGGCGGGGGAGGCAGCAGGCAATTGGAAGGCCATACAGCACCCTATTCACTCAAATGGAACCCACCAAACAGTGTAAGAGAGACTGAAAGTTGCACATGGCGCAGTCGAGTTGGTCGGTTGGAGGCAGCAAGTAATCCGGAAGGAAGACATTACACAGGACTAGGTTTAAAAAGCGGAAGCCGTGAGCAGACGAAGGACAATGGCGCAGGGTGGCGGGGGGATGAGCATATTCGGAAGCCAAACACGCCCCCGGGTTTTTAAAAACGGAAGCC